CCAAGCCCACAGTCTGGTTATTTTATGGTTCAGTTTAGTTCTCTATGATTAATTTAGAAGCCTTGGAAGATTCCTGTATTGTAATACCACAAGCTCTAAGCTTTAAGAATCAGAAAGGCTGTGAAAGAGGTTCTCTCCCTCTTTCACTGTCCTTGTGGGCACACTGTGTTCATCACACTACAGGGACCTTTTCCTGCAGAACTGCCCTTACATCCCACAGCACAGGCCGCCCCACCTGACTGCCACATCGCAGCCAGAACCCCTGCAGCAGGTGAAGGGGAGGGCACAGAAAGTGCACTGATGGGCAGGAGCGGTTTGTGCACAGGAGATGCAGCCGTAAGCGGAGTTATGCAACAAATTCCTCGCTCAGATAAAGCCTTCGTGGAACAGAAATAACTGCCTTGCTCTTTTGTGCACTAGAACAAAGGACTGTCTCAAGGCAGGCATCGACTTTTGTCTGCCTGACTTGCAAGCTACAGTGAAGCGATGCAACATTTCTTCTAATCTAACTCGCTGGTACAAGAAATCTCAGGTCCTCCAAACAGGAGGCTTTGCACAGAGCTTGCTAATGAGACACTCAGCTTTCACATGGAAAATACCGAGAAGCCATCTGAAACCCAAAAAACAGGGTAACTGAGCAATCCCAAGCCACCAGCACAGCCTCCACTGGAATGCAAGGACACACCACATCAGGGCATCATTTTGGGAGGGCAGCCATCGCAACACCCACAAAAAGAGAAGCCTATGGGACTGTGCCAAAGACTCCGCAGTCCCTGAGGTCTGCCGAGCAACGTGTGGGCTTCCACTGCACTGGCACCGGTCCAGAGCCCTAAATACAGTCTGGGATTAAGCCATTCAGTGAGAAGATGCAGCAGCCCCCAAGAAGTCAGAAGCTGAGGATGCACACCACGTGAGTCGGGATGCTAAGAAGGTTCCTGCGTGCTCCTGGAAAGGAGGAAGGAAGCAGCAGTCAGTGCGCCGGCACAGTGGTGGCGTTCCTGCAGCACTGTGCTGTCTGTGCAGCAGCAGACCCAGCTGGATTCCCAACGGGCTGCTGTGGGATCGGCTGGCTGAGGGTGAACACTCCTCCACAGCCGAGAACCTCCTGCGGACTGAACCAACAAGGAGCAGCACATGCCAGCCTCAGCTCCCTGCTTGTTTACAGAAACAGATGTTGTAAAAGATCCTCAAGAAATGATTCACCAAAAAAAGACGAGGGGAAAAAAAAACAATCCGTCTGTTTTTCCAGGGGAGGATATTGCTGCAGAACCACCTAAAAGCCAGGCCTTGATCCGGGTAGTATTGCAGCCACCAGTGAGGACTAGTAACCCAGACGCCTTGATCTACCTCCAGCTGAGAATATAAATATTTCCCTGACAGCTGGTGGTGCCGCGAAGCAGAAGGATTCATAAAGTTTACATGAACATCCTGTAAACAATTTGAACATAAAAAGCTGTAACGGCCCAATTGTGTTCCTGATCAAAGGCAAACTTCAATATACAGCACAAATGAAACTTCATCACTTTGGGACTCATTTCTCCCTCCAGGAAAAGCTGTTTTCCAAGGGTATGTAGGAGGGACTTAACATAAATTAAATACGCAGCAGTAGTAGGAGCTGCCTGTTCTACATCTTCAGATGTGTCTGTTTAAATTATTAAAAGATAATGGAATTTAATTATGCTGGAAAGTCACGCTACAAAAATTCACGAACAAAAGCCTGTATTTTGGCCAGGATTAACAGCGTTAAGGTTGACATTCTCAGACAGCGAGAGAAGTTATGTTCTTCCAAAGACTCCAAGTAGCATTTCTGAAGCTGGAAGGCACAGACTGCACAGTGCGGGGGATGGAGGGCTGCTGCAGACGAGTGATGTGCTACTCTTCCATTCCTCCTCCATGCAGAGATTATAGGGTGCTTACCTCCCAGCACAGCCACCAGATCTCACTGGGAATCATTTTCTTAGATAATTTCAAGCTCTGCAACATAACAAGCTCCTGCTCAGGCTCGCAACCAGGGACTGCTCATTTCAGCAGCAGCCACAGCAGTTGCTGCCCTGGGGACAAAGCCACATCCCTCTCTAGTCCCCAGCTCCGCTTCAGACCCAGTGCAGGTCTGGGAACCTCAGAGAGCACTGGCAGCAAAGAGCTGGTGGCTGCCCTCCCAAACACAGCACCACTGTGCTGCACACAAACCCCAGCCCTGAAGGGGCCTCAATGCCCATGGAGCATCCCAAAACTCAGAAATCTCATTTTCCCACTGAGCTCTAAGGGCAGCTAGCTCCGAAGTGGATGTCAGGAGACTTCTCTTTGATGGGTTTCCCACCCTTCATCAAAGAAGGTCTAGGGAGGGAATATTAACTTTGTCCTGGATTTTTTAATTATTACTGTTTCTGTTTCTGGAAGGGATTAGTTCCCATTACACGCCCATAACAATCCCACACACCTTGAGCTCCACCTCATCGCTAGCCCCGAGTCTACAACTGAATGGCAGAAACCTGCAACGCTTCAGGATTGTTACCCACTTTGTGAATACACCGGTTCTGTAAATTCTGCTGTAAAGAATTCTGAAGGAAAAAAAAAAAAAAAAAAGAGGTGGCAAGATAAAAAAACGTGTGAAACACAGGGAGCTGAGGGATGCCAGGCAGGCCGGCTCCGGACAGGAGGGACGGCACACTTGTCAGTCTGGGCCTCCCAGCCAGGAGCTTTGAAGGTTTCATCATGATTTACCCAATGCAAACCTGACCCTTTCTGACGAGCGACTTTTATTGCTTCTGGCAAAAACAGCCGCGGACAGCAGAGGGGAAGAACTGGCTTCCAAGCAAACAGGCTGAATTGCAAGGAGAGAACTTGAACTTGGAATATATCAAAATGACAGCAACCCGGGCAGCCCTCAGCCGTCCCCAGGGCAGGGTCTGGGGGAAGGCAGCAGCCCCACGACGAGAGCCCCTGCACCTGGCTGCAAGCAATTAGCGACATTATCCCCAACCAGGGGTCTTCTGGGGGGCTCTTTTCCTGATATTTAGCAGCCTGAATGCTAATCCCTTTAACAAAACTGCTCCCGATGCTTTTTCCGCCCTCCTTCCCCTTAATCTCTTTTCTCCCGGTGGAAAAGAAAAAAAAAAAAAAAAAAGAAAAAAGAAAATAAAAAGAGAATACCAGTCGGCCTGGTTTGGCAGCACCTGGATTTGAATTGATTCTCCCCTTGTCATTCATGTTACCAACAGGAATTAGCATATGGCTTTAAGGGGAAACTCAGGAGGAGAAAAGAAAGCCGCCATTTTGATGGAAATAAGGGGCACAGGAATAATCTACCATCAACTAAAAAGCTTATTTGTGTATGGTTTCTCAAGCAAAGCTTAGAAAAGCCTATGTTGATTTTAGGCTACACAAAGAAATCCTAATCCTTTCAAGGGAACTAAATCACCAAAGAAAAGTATCTCGGAAGAAAAGGCTCCCTGTCAAGCATGGATGCTCACAACCAAATAGATGCCACGAATCAACCTGGGTAAGTAAACACTACCCGGGCTGTGGGAAACGTGCTGGGTCCGAACTGGGAAGGGCAGGAAGAGCAAAAGGCCCCTCCTCGCCTGGCCCCAAATTCCCATGTGGTCACAAGCAGCGTGGGTCACCCAAACGTGCAACCTTATTTATTTGTTTGGCGGTGGAGGGGCTGAGGGCAAGCCATACATTCAATTAAAGCAAATGGATCTATCAGCTCGCCAAGTGAGATCGTCCGGTTAGGCCACCGAGGTCATCCATCCAACACAGGGCTCCCAAAGGATGGGAGAACACAAAAAACAAGGAACGTGGATCCGTGATGCCATTAAATAGGATTCAACAACAGCAGCAGACCCCCAAAGCGACGACGTATCAGCACAGGAACCTCACACCTCAGCATCATGGGCTCATCCCCAATTACATGGTGTTGTGGGATTAAAACACATAGAATAACACCACGACGGCCCACTGGAATGACAAACCCAATACAGAGCCAACCCACACCTGGCCAACTGTGATCAAAACAGACCTGAACGCCAAATTCACCAAATCTGCGTTTTCTAAGCAAGATTGACTCAAATGTCCCCAGAAGCACACCAGGTTAAAGCACTACGGGTTTGCAGCCCCATTTAATGGGTAATTATTACACACTGCCATTGAGAAGTAGGACAGTGGGTGAAAAACAGAAAGAGCTGATGCATTTTGAAGGCTCTGAATTACACACATAGGCACAAGTCATGTCTGGAAGCTGCTCCCTCTGCCCTCTTTGCAAAAAACAAAAAACAAAAAAAACCCCAAACACTGCAATAAATAAAGGGATAAATAAATAAATGCATCCCCACAGCCTTTCTAATAATGCTGCTTCAGGACAAGCTCTGCACAGAAGCTCACTGGCACTGATTTAGGGCGAGTTTTCCCTTAATGTACTGTTATATCATTAGCCACTCTCTCTTTAGATTGCTGTTTGGAGGAAATTAATGGGATACTGAATATTTAAATGTGGCCCTCTATATCATTTATTAACTCTACAGAAAGCACACAGCACAGCAAGCCATGGTTTATGACTATTATCCTGTGAATACTAAACGCTGGCTGGTTATTACTGTCAGCAGTGCAAATTGGCTATTCATAATTCCATGTCTATCATGGAGCTGATGAGTAACAATCAAGTTAAAACATTTTGAAAACTCTTACAGTTATTTAAATGAGCTTAAATTAAAGCCATTTGTAAAATAAACTATTCCCTAATATTGTTATTTAAATTAATTCTGACCTGGCAGGCACTGCATTATTTAAAGCCTTTATTTTATATTGCTTAAGCAAAGCAATTATCAAGCATACAGAACACGTCTGAAACCGAGAGAAACATAAAAAGCACTAACAAGCTGATTGCAACATCTCTGCCAGACAAGTCACATTTCATCCCCATTGAAATTGCCACAAGAAGAAACGCATCGGGGGGGGGGGGGGAAAAAACACATTGGTGATGCGAATTGCAGTCTTACCTTTATTTGTAACAGCGTTGAACAGTTTTTCAGAGCTGGCATCAGATGCCTGAAAGACCAATAAAAAAAAAAAAAAAAAAAAAAAAGTTAAGTTTCCTTCAAGTTATGCATTTCAAAGGAACGACGCTACAGTGAGACACGCGCGGAGATGTGTACATATTTCAGAGAAACAAATCAGGTGACAAAAGCCAGGAGCTGATGGGCTCCGAAGGGAACGTCCATGAGGTGGTGCTATTTGGCTGTGCTTTGCCGCCCTGCAGTGCAGAGATTTCCTTTGGAAACATTCAATTTAATACAAAAAATACATAATATATATATTTTTACTCCCATGCATCAGCTGCACACAAACTGCATTTTTGTACCGCAATTATGCACTGCATTCTGATCTGGATTTTGATAAGAATTTTTGTGAAATACAGCCCAGCTTCGGAGACTGGCAGAATTGCTGGTTTCTAAATTAAATTCATTAAGTATTTTTGGAGACTCCAACCGCACCAACCATTCGGTTGCTGGTACTTCTACAGCAGCACCGATTCCTCGGCTCGGTAATCTCACCCACTGCTCTTAGGTAAGGTCTGAAAAAGCCACCCTCATATTGAGCACAGTGTGCATCTCCACACAGGGCTTCTCTCCCTCAAACTAACTGATTCCTGACACCACGCTGTGCTCAAACCAATGTTCCTTTCTATCTCTCATCTGCCACCTTTATTGGGGAAGGCTTTTCCTCCCAGTGCTGCTTCAGTACCTCATCCACCACTGCTGTTCCGCAAGCGTGCTGCCTCGTCCTTCGCCCTATTGTTGAAATGATGCATTTTTAAGTTTCACACCAAAATGCTGAGCACCCCTTTCCAAAAACTTAACAGGAAAGGGAACGCTGCAAATGTTGATTTTGGACACCCCGAGTGCAGAAGCCAAAATCATCTGTGCATCTGTGTTGAGATATAAGGCACACACACAGCTGCAAACACATGCACACCCCTCATACCTACACTACTCCCCACATTCACTGAACAGAGAGCTGCTCAATTCTAAACTCAATTTCGGACAGAGCCCCGCTGTCAGACAGTCTGCTTTCTGAAAGCACACGGAAATGAAGGTACCCAGCAACAAAACCATGCCAACAAGGGAAGCCTAACACTCGAGGAAGACCGCAGTCTTCTGATAGAAACTGTTGGCTCAAATAATTAAAACCCATTGTTTGAAAAGCAAGCTTTAATTTCTGGTTGAAGGGAATAGATTTCTGAATTGAGAATCAGAGAAGAGCCATCCAGACAGGCAACGCATAGGAGGCATCTCCAGTGCCCAACAACTTGGGTGTGGAACCACCGAGCGATAAATGAGCAGACAGAGCTCAGAGTGTAACAGGGCACTGCAATGATCTGCCTGCCCTCAAGTTAACAACGTCAAAGATTTCCACAATTAACTGCAAAAAAATTTTTAAAAAATTAAAAAAAAAAAAAACAAAAAAACCCTGCTGTACTCTTTTTTCAGACTTCCAGACAGATTTCAGATGACTGCTGGCTTATTTCAAAGCTGGGCTGGCGCGTCTCTTCCCAATTCAATACCTTGTAAACACTGGATTTATTACCCACTGATGGATTTATTATCCAGCGACGAGTTTCCTTAAATTAATGAAAAATATGTGAATAACGCAGAAATTGAAGAGCCCCAGAAAGCCGTGTGCTTCAAAGTCCAGTATCAGTCCAACAAACCAAGCCATGCTCAGAGCTTTCAGGACCGTGCCCATCAGCCTGCTCTCTGATGGGGAATAATGACCCTTCCCAGCGAATTTCATCTGCTGTTGCCTTTTTAAATGCAGCCTCTCTCTGAAGGCAGAAACTCTCCAAACCACTCTTTGTTTTCACAAAATCTATCATGGAAGAAAGAAGAAAAAGAACAAACTGGGAAAAAAAAAAAAACCCACAAAAACCCACAACCAAACCGTTTTACAGTTTCAAGTGTTACTTTATTTTACTGTTTTTAAATTAACCAGCATAAAGAAGCCCTAAGTTTCCCATTTAGTTCATTTTTCCAAACACCAAAGAGAGGAGAAAAGACACCATTTCTGTATTTTTAAAGAACTTTCCTCAATCTCCAACAATAAACCCAGCGCCTGCTTTTCAGCTCCGATTCTCCCGCAGAAATCCTGCCATTCCTATCGCACGCAGCGCTGAGAACATCGCTGTGGAACGTGGCAGAGGCACTTCTCGGACGAACCGCGGTGCACAAAGCGCTCCGAGTGAGCATCACTTGTGAGCGGATCGGGAGGCGATGCTCGGCCCGGCGCGCACACAGAGGGGCATCATCTCCCGCAGACAAAGCTCGACCAGGAGCAAACCCCATTTTGCGTTGCTGACCACACGTTACCGAGCGGAGCAGCAACTTGGAGCAAACGCACCGCCGGGCTCACCGTACGAACAACCACGAGCCGCCTCGGCAGCTCCAACCCTGAGCCGGAACTTTGCCCTTTTCCGCTACTTTTAGGTTTTATTTTAAATATGAAAGAGAGATCAGGGTTACGCGCAAATGCTACAGCAGCAGAGGCGATCTCCGCCAGCGGACGAGCGCAGCATCCTTCTCGATGCAACCATTTCTGTGCCCAGGCACTCGCACTACACAACACCAGCAAGAGGACAAAAACAAAACAAAAAAAAAAAAAAGCAAAGCCACGCGAATTGAAACAGAACGGAAAAAGAAAACAAAACTCGGCACTAACGCAGAAGGAACACACAACGCCCTCGCCAAGCCGATTTAAAATCTCCTCCGCGTCTCCAAGCGGCCGTGCAGCCCGCCCGTATCTCCGTGCGGAGCGCGGAGGGCGGCGGGGCCGAAGCGGGACGTTCCGTGCGCTGGGAGCCGAGAGCTGCGTTCGCCCCCCGCCCAACCAACCCACGGCCCCGCGCTGCCCGCCCGAGCCTCCCCGGTGCGGGCACCCCTCGGTACGAGCGCTGCGCGAAAGAAATCGGCAAGCTCCGAGCTGCCGATACGGATAATAAATAATTAAGCAGAAAGGAAAAATAAAAAAAAAAAGAAAGAAAGAAAAAAAGAAAGAGACCCCCAAGAGCGTTTCCCTGCCAGAGGACCTCGCGGACGCAACGTTCCCCCACCCCGGCGCGGCGTTACCTGCGGACGCGGGGCGAAGAGGAGCCGCCGGCCCCGGACTCATGGCGGTGCGGGAGGGGCGCGCGTGTGCGCCGGGCAACTCCGATCCAGAGCCGAGTCCGCGCCGAAACCACAACTAATCCTTCAGGACCGGCGGGCAGCGCCGGGCCGCCCGGCGGGCATCCTCGGGGCGGCGGAGCCCCGCTGAGCCGATCCCGGAACCGAGCGGCAGCGCGCGGGCAGCGCTAGCGGGGCGCCAGGACAAAGGAACGCATGTGCGGCTCCGGCGGTCCCGCAGCTCCGGGCGCAGCTCCGTCCCGCAGGGCCCGGCTCCGGGCTGGCGCGGCCCCTCCCGCGGCCGGATGGGATTTTGTTTTATTTTTTTGTCTTCTGCTTGGTCTTTTTTGTCTGCTTTTTTTGGGTTTTTTTTTTTCAGTGAGGTGCTTCGGCGGGGCCGGAGGAGCTGGGGCCGGGCCGCTGCTTC